ATAATTAATTCAAAAAAATTCCTTTATTATTTTTATAATTTTACATTTTTTTATAAATCTTATGTCTAAATCATTTGAAATAATTATTTCTATAGCTGCTTTTTGCTGAACTTTTTGTTTATTTATTGGTTTTTTAAAATAAAAATGTAGATCTCTTTTTCTAGACGTATATATTTTTACAAAATTTAATCTCTAATTCTCTTAAATAAATTAAACTATTTGTTAAACATCTAAAAAAAATTACATTTAATAAATAATAACTTTGAGAAATATTAAAATCAAATCAATTCTTTTTTAATATCTCATTGAATTAAAATAATTTTAAATTTTACTTATTCTCAATTTTAGTTAACAGATAAAGAAGGATAATTTAATAAATTAAATAGATCATGATAAACTTATTAAACTTTACATTCAATTAATTAAATAACTATTCTCATACTCATATTAACTATTGATCTTTTGCTGTAATACACCTTTATGCTTAAGTTTTTATCTCAAATCTTTCAAAGTTGAAATGAGCACAACAAAAAATTTATTTATAGATATTAAATAATAAAAATTGAGAATAATTCAATAATTGAAAGATCTAATAATTCTTGAAGACTTAAATTACAAATATATTTTGTATTTGAAACCTTAACTTTCTTGATAAGTAAAATTTCAAAGTCAAAAGAGGAATTTAATTTAAATTGACCAATAAAACTTAATGGAAATATTTTCTATAATTTTTTATCATTATTGATCAAATTAATTTTAAATACTCTTTCTTTATAAAATAACCTGAAAATTTTTTTATTGAAAAAAGTTAAAAGATCAGAAATTTCCATATGAAATATATTAAATATAAATGATGTGAATGATGATGAAAATTATTTATTATAACCTCAATAACTTTAGGATTATTTCTAATTTGTTCATAAAGCATCTCCCTTAATATCTCATTCAATCGAAAAATTTGAATTCCTAAAATTATAATTTTGTGAGTCTAATAATTTTTCATATCGATTAAATAGTTATTGAAAATATGAATTTTGATTTAAATTATAATTTACTCATGAAATGTAAGGATTTAGAAGATTTTAAATTAATATAAAAGTCACTTCTTAAATAAAAGTGGATTGAATTTTCTATTAAACATAACTATTCAAGAATTTGTTCTTATTTTAAATCTTTTACTTGAGTAATTTAAAAGTATTCAATTAACTACTAATTTTATTCTCTTTTTCTCTAAAATTGATTTCGATTTTTATTTTATTTATCTAAAATGTAATTATAGTTTTTGAATTTCTCTTGAAGGGTATATTATCTGATGGATTTTTCTAATATTTTAGCTATCTTCACTTAACTCCTTTAACGATATCATTTTAATTTTTTTTTTCTAAACTTACTGAAATTTATGTCCATAATCTTTCAAATCCTAATGGTTCCTATTTTCTTCTCTTTTGATACCTATTTAACATTTTTAACAATAGTTTATATGATTTTTAGATTTTATGTTTAAGTAGTGTCGATTCAACTTAATTTTATTTTTACAGTTCCTTTTCTTGAATAAAATATCTTAAACAATTTAATCAATGTTCTTCTATTGCTTTCAATTCTCTTCTATAATATCATTGAATCTGTTAATTGCATTTTATAATTTTCTTTTAATTATTTTTCACCTAATTATTGTAATTGAGTTATTCAATAATTTATATTCATTTAATTTTTAATCAAACTTATGATTTAGATCTTTAAATTCTCTACATTTTACCTAACTTTCTGCTTTTAGAATACAATTATAAATTTGTTAATTATTATTTCAATTTCTTTAGAGTAAAAAATTTTAAAGTAAATTTATTTAGTAAATTAACCTGTTAGTGTAATTGATAAATTTTAGAAGTTATAATTCTAATTTTGGAATGAATATACATTGAATCTTTATATTATACTTAAATTAATCATGTTAATTTATCTACATATTTTAAAATTTTGACAATTCTATAAATGTTAGTTTGTTTCCTCATTTTTTAAAATAAATTCATACATCTGATCCACTTCTGCTATAGAGAAGCAGTAATAATATTATTTAAATCCTCTATTTGATCTTAATTTATTGTTTATTTTTAATAATTTGGGTTATTGGGCAAATTTAATAAAAAAAATCTTTGAAATTTAATACTTTAAGGTTCACCCATAATTTATTTTATCTTTAGAGATTTTTTTTCAAATCATCATTCAAAACTAAACATTATTCGACTATGATTTGTCATATGATGAAAAGATATTTTTTAGTTATATCTTTATTTAAATTTCTCATAATCTTTTGATGATTCTCTATCGGCATTTAAGTTAATAAATCATCAAAGAAAATAAAAGTGATGAATTTTTGTTTGTTTTTAGTGCTTTAATATCATTCTATTTTTCCAATATTTAATTTTGCAATCATATATTTATTTCTTTAACTTAATCTTAAATCTTCTTATTAATGCCATAATATTTTTTCTAATAGAATTAACTTTATAAATAATTTATATCTTCCAGTAATATCTAATTACTTTCTTAAATTATTATTTAATCAAATTTATTCTTCAAAATCTTAATTATCTAATTATAAACTTTGTCTAATTCTTAATGTTATATGTTTAATTTTAATTATTTTTTTCTTGTTTAAAATAACTACCTATCATTCATAATTTAAAGCAGTTTAATTTGATTGACAATTTTCTAAAAATAAAAGTATGTTATTATTTTTCTTTAAATTGATAATTTACTTTTGATAATTTTATTTTAAAGGTTCATTTCATGAATTCTGAAATTAATTTCAAATGATTGACCTAAAATATTTCTTTTTATGTTAAAGTAGACTTATTAAATAGAAATGATTTCTAATTTTATAACTATTTTATACATTATTTAGTTCATTTATTAAAGTAAATTTCTAAGAAAAAGTTTTTTCCTTAAATATCATTTTTAGTGATTTAAAAATTTTAAAGCTATAAATTTTTAATTCATACATTTAAAACTAATTGTTTAGATCATAATAACCATCTTCTAATTGCTTTATTCATCTATTTCCTTCTTTAATTGTTTTAGGATAAAGTAGTTTTTATAAAAGGTCATTTTTAATATAAAAAGCGCTAAATTTTTTTATGCTAAAATTTATTTTACTATCTTCAAATTAAAAGTTAAAATGTTTTATCAAATCATTTTTTGAGGTCGATGAATAATTATTATGATTGGAATTGATATAAACTATTCTGATGATTCTAAAAATGTGTTTAGCTAAAATTTGATCTTAAATTCTATTTTTTAGAATTTTTGATTCGATAATCAAATCTTACAATTGTTACATATATTAATTTTTTCCCATCTCATTGTGTTTATTTAATTTAAAATCTAAGTAAAGGTATTTAATAGGAGTTATCAAACAACATTGAGTGTTTAATTCTACTATAAATTATTTAATTATAATTAATTAATTCATTTCTTATTTGTAGTATATCACTCTTTCTACAAATTTATTTTTCCATTTAAAATTTGCTCTTTCTATTAATCTCTTGTGATCAAATTTTAATATGTTTGCTTAGATTATAAAGATCCTTAAAAAGAAATTTGATATTTCATACTTTTATTTAATTATTTTTTCTCATAATAATTATGAATATATTTATTCTATCATATAATTTCTTAGCAAAGAAGCATCTTATGAAAGTCTTAAATATCTTCTTATAATTTTTATTTCTCTAATAAACAACTTTTCAGAAAATGGCTATTATTTACATATTTATTACTTATTTAGAGCTAGTTTATTTTTATTTATCTATGTATTTTTTTTTATTTCTATTTTCTTATTATTTAAAAGTCTTCTAATTAATTTTTGAATTTCAAGATTTTCAAAGAAATTTGCATGTTTTCCTAAGAAATAATCATTAGAAAAATTTATATATATTTTAAATAAAATAATCTAATGTAAATTATCAAGTTTATGTGAATATGATCTGTTTTTTGTCTTGGTCTTTTTGTTTTTTAGAAATATTTAATTATAATAGAAACTTTTTATATATTTAATATGCAAGAACCAATATCACAATATATTTTTTGTTAAAAAGTTACAAATAAAATCAGAAAAATAAAATAATATTGAATACTAATTTCAATTGATTATTTTTTTTTAAAACCAATTATTTATTTTCTTATAAAATTGCATAATTATAATTTAATATTTCTATTTTCAACTTAGATCAATTACTTGAAACATTTATCTTATTAAGTCTAATAATATACTTTATATGGTTAAATAATAAAACCTATTATTTTTTATTATAGGTATAAAACTTTTTCCATATTATTTGATAAAGTCATAATATGTGTTTTATTAATAAATGATACTTGTTGTAATAATTTAAAAATTCATAATACTTTATTTTTATCATAACTTCATTATAACTAATTGTAATTTATATAATATATTCTAATTTAAATGCTAATACTTTTCAATTTCATATTAATTGAGATTGGCTACATTTTCACTTTTTTGACATTTTTTTTCAATTATTGAATTTTCAATGAAAATACAACATATAGCTATATTATAGAAATGACATTAATGTTGTTTTCATAAATTCAATCATCTTTTTAGATTTAGCAGATAATAATAATCAAATATTTGAGTTAATATTTTTAAATTGAATATATTTAATATACATGTATCTAGATATAAGTTACTTGAAACCCAAGAGTAAGAATTTCCTAAATAAACACTCAAGTAATGTAATAAAACTTAAAAATCTAGAATTTTATATAAAATCTGGAACAGAAGGAATGATAGTGAGAAACATTTATGAAAAAGTTGATTATGAAGAGTATGAAATGAAATCTATTGATAATTTCAAATAAATCATATAAGTCCCATTACCTATTTAATGGAAAACAAGTGATTATTTAAAAATGCTAATTTCAGCAGATTTTTATATTTAAGGGGCGTTATAAGTACCTCAAAAAAATATTTAAAGAATTTATAGGTTCATTTAAGTTGGCTTAACTTATACAAAAACATGGAACTAAATATTGCCTAATTAGAATGTGGGGATTTTTATATATTTGGAATGGATAAATAATTAAGGCCAGTGATAATAATAAAACATCTTGAAAACAAGAATTTTTTAACTTTCCAATATCTATTGGAAACAGTGAAGCGATAAGTGTTGATTCCTTATTTTATTGAAAATTGGACAATTATTTATGATTGCTAAAATCAAGAATAAAATTTTTATGAAATTGATGTAAGATATATAAATTATAAAGTTCGATTTTCAATATATAAAAGAATTAATGATTAACTTTTGTGGAAATTTAAATAATCTTCTCATAGTAAATTCTAAATTAAATTTTTAATAAATTCTTAATTTTATACCTAATAAAAATCAAGTACATTCTAAAATAAAACTGATTAATAATCTTGATGATTTATAATAATATATTTTAAAAGAATAATTAGAAGAAAAATATCATGGTGAATGTTAAAATGTAACTAAATTTTGGTACAATAATTATAAATAATTATAGGCCCCCTTAAGTTCCATAAGTTTCTGAGTTGTTAAAACAAATTACATATGACTGTTAAGAAGATTGCTAAAATGATCTAAGAAAACTTTAAGATTTTAAAGAGAGAAATTTAAGAAAGTTTTCATCCTTAGGAAGATTATCTCATTAACATTCAAATACAACAACCATGAAAAAATCAACAGATTCTGCAACTTCCAGTAGTCATTTTAAAATTTTAGTTCATGAAGAAAATGGAAATTAGCTTATAGAAGAAGAAATTGAAATTATCAATAATTAAGGTGAATCCGAGTTTGATAATTTAAAAAAAAATGATATAAATTTCTATAAAATTGAATCTGCTGGAACTTCATAAATAGAAGCTAATAATTAAAGTTAATTCTAAACAATACTTGAAAATGAGCATTTGATTGAAAATAAATGTTGCTCAGCAAAATTTACTTGTGTGATTTTTTGATTAATTTTATACTTAATTACATTTTAAAATTAAATATAATAATATTATATTTATAAAATCAATGATTAAGATATCCATAAATAGAGAAAACATTTACTCTTATTAATATAAGTAAGTTTAGTTTGAAATGTTCAGAAAGTTTATCAAAATATATGCTTGAATATGTTAAAATTAATGTGTTAATTTAGATGGAAAAATTAGAGAAATCAAATAAAAATTAAAAGAAACAAAAAGTTATCATCTGAAATTAATATTCTATAATTTAATTAGATTTATTATTTGAATTAACAATTATTAATAGTAATATAATAATATTATATAATATTAATAAAAATGGAATATGAACTAATATGGTACTATGTTGATACAAGCGAATAAGAAACAGAAAAATAAACTAAAGGTCCTATATCTATAAGAGATATAGATGTTATGTTAAGAACCAGCATTATTACTTCGCGTAATTAGTGATCATAACATTTAGATACTTATGTTTATAAGGAAGGATTTACAGATTGGAAACCAATATTTTTGGTTGAAGAGTTAAAAGGTTTTTTGGATGAGTAAGAACATGAAATGGTTTAAATAACTTGTGGAAAAGATATAAAATCTGAAGAATAATAAGCACAGCAGATATAATAATAATAGGATGAAAAAGATGGAGAGGAAGTGGATGAATAATCTGAAGAAAATGAATCATTTTAATAATTGAATGATGAATAGAGGATGGAAATATTAAAGAAGAAAATAGAAAAGAATAGAAAGAAATCACAAAAAGAAAAAGAAAAAAAAAAGAATTAATGGTACACTCCAAAAATAAATACAAATGTATATGTTGAAGGATTACCATAAGATATAACTTTGGAAGAAATGAAAACATTTTTTAGCAAAGCAGGAATAATTAGAATCAATCCAGAAACTTTACAACCTACAATTAAAATTTATAGAGATTAAAATGGGAATTGTAAAGGTGATGGATTAATATCATATAAAATGGTTGAAAGTGTATAAACAGCAAAAGAAATGTTGGATGGACTTCATATTAGACCAGATGTTATAGTTAAAGTGACTGAAGCAGTTTTTGAATAGAAGGGATAATATCGTAAAAGAGAAAATAGAAAAATTGATAAATTATAAAAGGTTTTGGCAAGATAAAAAGAGATGACATAAATGGCTGAGGAAGGATAAGAAGATGATGGTAAAGGATTAAAAATTTTAATAATTAAAAATTTATTTAGTCCATCATAAGCATAAAAATTAGAGTTTATGAATTAAATATATGGTGATTTATTGTTAAAAATAGAAGCTTTGTAAATTTATGTCCAAAAATTAGAGTTTTTCAAAGATCATCCATAAGGTAATTATATTTTTATAAATAAAGGTGTTGCAAAAGTTAAATTTCATTCTGCATATGATGCTGAGATTTGTTTCACTAATTTAAATGGTGTTGAATTCAATAATAGAAAATTATTTATTTAATATTGGGATGGTAAAGAAAATTTTAAATCAAATATTGAAAGTAAAGAAGTTGAAGAATAAAGACTAGAACAATTTGGATAATGGTTAGAGGAATAAGATGATAGTGATTCAGATGATGAAAAGAAACATAAAAATAAATGAGTGTATGATAATTGAAATTTATTTATTTAACTCCTAAATTTTTTAATTATTTGATTTTGAATAAGGAATGAATAGAGACAATACAATTTAGTATAGATCCCCATAATAATTACCATCTTCAAAAAAGCCTAACATGGAAAATTTTCCACCACAAAGAAATACAAATGAATTTATTAAATAGATGAAAAAAAGAATTGATTAACCTCCCCTTAGCATTGTAACTTAAAATTCTCAAATCAAAGATGCATAATCAATTTTTATTGATGTCTCTAGGATTGAATAATAATCCAATAATTCAAATAATAGTTTTTTTGACCCCTTAAAATAACCAATTATTCCATAATGTCATAGATCGAATTAACCCTCAAATTGTACAACCTAAAGAACAAATAGATTAGATATGTAGAGAAATAGTAAACCATATCTAGATTAAACTGATAGTATGGGCATGCTATTAATTTAACAATAAATGTTATAATTGTAAAATGAAAACATGATTTTAAAACAACAATTAGAAAAATAGGAAAGTTAAAGATTACTTTTTTAATAATAACTTCTTTAATAATTCTAGTCATAATAGCAATAATAGTAACAACCTATTGTTATAAACAATAATATAACATCTAACGAAAAGTAACCATAATAATCAAAATCTATTCCTCCATAAAATAATGAAGAAGAATCTTAATCCCCACCAAAAAAAATATAGCGCAAAAAACAATAATCTTAAGCCATATAGACAGATAAATCTGTATAAGATTAATCTATTATCAATATTAATGAATCTTACTAAAATTAATCTTATATTAATAATTCAAAGTAAATCAAACAATAATAATAAATCAAATCTCTTTAATAATAAAAAACAAGCATGGAATCTTTAACTTTTGGTACATAATTATCTCAAAGAAATTTAATTACTTAATAATCATAATAGCAATTATAAAATAATGATTCGTTGAGCAAAAATTAAAGTAATCAATAAATTAATTCAAATTCTATTCAATTCTAAACGGAAATAGAATAAAAAGATAATTAAATGTAAAATATACAAGATATCTAAATATAAAGAAAATATTCTTAAATAGATGTAATTAATTCTTCTGCTTAGAAAGATCAAACTTATAGTATTTATAATTAAGAAATACGTAAATAATCGTAGCCTAGTGTAAAATTAGAATTTAATTTTGAAGATGGAAAAAATGAATCAAATAAAAAATGTTTAGCTGATTATTTTTCATAAAGAAAGAAAACAGCTAATGTTGAGAGAAGAGTTTCAGTTTAAATGCCAGCTTAAGAAGAAGAAGAATAAAGCTGGATTGTAAATGTTAAGTAAAGAAGTAAGGAAGAATAAATCAAATTAAGAAAAGAAATGATGGAATATGGAAGAAGCAAGAGATAATAAAATAAAAGTTAAACACCAACAATTGAAGAAAAAAATAGTGCTAAGAAAGAATAGGTTAAAAGAGTGAAAAGTCCATTAATGGAAAGATTAGCTTTAGGATAAAAAGCAAAAGTAATTTTGAACTTATTTAGGTCGAAGAAAAAGAAATGTTTGCATTAACTAAAAAAAATTATGAAAATTTGCCAGAAGTAAAAAGCAAAAAGAATTAAGAAGAAATAAACAAATAAAAGCAGCAGTTTATGAAAGAGAGATAAAATAAATTAAAAGAATTAGATGATGTAAATTATTATTTAATTTTAGAAAATTAAAGAGAAAATGAAAAAGCCATGATTTGACATTTAATAAATTTTCTATAAGTTTACTATATAATTATCAGTTATAATTTTTCAAGCCAATTTTATTTCCGATTTAAAATTATATATATAACAATAACTATTTTTCTTGTTTCAATAAAAACATATTTTTTTCTTATATGTTCAAACTTATAAATTAATTCCTTCTATTATCATTTCTAGTAATTAAGCTTTATTATTAAAAGAAATTGTTGTTTTGCAAAAAATCTTATATATATTAGAAAGATAAGATTAGAGTTTTAAGATAATAATCATTTCTATATTTATTATATTTAAAATCATTTAAATCAATATATTTTCATGAGATCTATTTAATTTACGAACCTCTTGTACTTTTCCTTATTACTGGTTAAGATGGTATTTTGCTTTATGATTCATTATCTTTCTTAAGTTTCATATTTTTAATAAATTTCTTAGCCATCATAACAGTCCATAACTTATTTTCATCTGATTTTATGGTTGATTTAGTTTATTGTTTATTTGGTCTATTTTTCACTATTTCATAATGTCTTTCCTTTTATTAATTAAAATCCATTTATTTTCTTCTCATTTCTTCTACTTCATTTTACAACCTCATAAAAGTTTGAATATCTTAACAATCCATATCAACAACTATTTCTCTATCAATTTTATATTCTTCTAAGGTAGCTAATTAGTTATTTATAAAGTCTTAGTTTTATTTTAACCCTCGTAAGAGTTAAATATCTTTTCTAATTAAAGCTGGTCTAAATGCTTTTAAAATTTTTTATTTTTTTGTAATGGCTGATTGTTTTTATGATTTATTACTACTGACTAATTATAAAGTATTTTACGATAATAAGCTTAAATGATTGGTTAAGGTTAAATTTTTGAGATTTTAGCTTGCTTACATATTTTCTTCTTCATAAAAATTTGAATGATTTTCCAGTTTTTCAGATGGTTGATCAAAACCTAATTCAGAATCAAAACTTTCTGAACTACTAGGATCGGAAACCTAAAGAATAAACTCATTTTATTTTTTTTTTCTATGTTCTAACAATTAGAAATCTTCTAATAAACTGGGAGAACTATCTTCTTCATAAAATTCTGTTTAGAACTTTTCTTTCTCATCGTTTTCTTATTATTTATGTACAAACTTTTTCTTTTAGTTTTAGAATTAAAACTTGCATTTTTCCTAAATAGATTTTCGAGATTGAGATCTTATCCTAGTTTTATGTTCTGGATCTTTAGTTATTTTCATTTCATTGTTTACTATATTTTAAAACTTAAAAGCTCCAATTCCAATATCCATTATATTATTTATTTATATTTTTATGCATAAATTTGTGACTCCAGAAACTTTTGTTCATAAAGTTGAAAATGATTATTTCATCAAAAAGAAACCAAGTCCTGATTCAAGAACTGGAAAAAAGAAACAAACTGAATAGGATTATGAACTCTATCAAAATCTTAAAGATCTTAGAAACAATAATCAATTAATAAAAAACAAATAAGGTTCACTTAAAATTATTAATCCTTTGAGTAAGCAAATTAATATGATGGAAACAAAAAAATAATAGCAAGAAAAGAAAATGAGAGAAACTCAATTCTAATTAAAAAAAAAGAGTATGCTCAATGAAAATCAATAGAAGTTATAATCTGATTTAAAGAATTTAGACAAAATTAGTGTTGGTGCTTTCAAAGATTTTAAAGAATAAGTTAATCTTTATAATAAATATTACAGCAATACAATTGGATAGGAACCAGAAATTAAGGACATTCAGTATGAGGATTTAAATATTCCATATTAATATGTTGATAATGGAAGTAGGTATACGTATAGAGAAATATTAAATCATGAAGTCCCTGAAATAAACTACTAGAATGATTAAGCAAAGAATTTGATGGAGTAAATAAATTTATAATTTAAAATTAGAACAATACTCTAATTGAAATTCTCAGATGAATAATTAGAGAACAAATTATTAAACAGTTTAAAATAACATGTTGTTGTGAGACAATTAAATTAAGTGGAAAATGATTATTTAACAGCAATAAAAAATAATGATTTATCTAGTTTAAAATTAATGTTAATATCTGATGAATGTTTAGTAAAAACAAAAGATTTTGTAAAATTCATAAATATATAAATTTATAGATAGGTTAAACTGGATTGCATTTGGCAGCTAAACGAAACTATTATGATATATGTTAAGAGTTAATAAATTATAATATAGATGTATTTGCAATTGATTATGTAATTTAAATGTTAAAATTAGGCAAGTAGAACGGCTAAGTAATTGGCAGAAAAGTACAATTATTTTAAGGTTGCTAAGTTAATTTAAATGGAGGAGGATTAACAAAATAAGAGGAGAAATATACAATGGTGAATTACTTTATTATAAACATAATTAAAAACAATAAATAAATTGTAAATAAAAAATAACTATCAGTGTTTTTTTAGTTGATGATAGTTGTAAATGACTTAGATATATATCTTTGAATCATTTTAAATATAATAAACGAATTATAAAAGAAATACTTGAAAAATTTTAAATATTCTTATTTATATTAATAATAATGGACATTGATGTTGATAAGGTAAGTAATTTAAAAGTATGAAGATAATTGAAAAACTTTTAGAAAGCAAAGGAGCTAAATAAGGGAAAGCAGTAAACCTAACAGAAAGTGAAATACGTTCTTTGTGTATAAAAAGTAGAGAGATATTTTTAAGTCAACCAATGTTACTAGAATTGGAAGCTCCAATAAAGATATGTGGTAAAAATTGCAAATGTATATAGGTGATATACATGGATAATATACAGATTTGTTGAGACTGTTTGAATATGGAGGGTTTCCACCAGAGGCAAATTATTTATTTTTAGGAGATTATGTAGATAGAGGAAGACAATCTTTAGAAACAATATGTTTGTTATTGGCATATAAAATAAAATATCCTGAGAACTTTTTTTTATTGAGAGGTAATCATGAATGTTCATAAATAAACCGTATATATGGATTTTATGATGAATGCAAAAGAAGGTACAATATAAAATTATGGAAAACATTTACTGATTGTTTTAATTGTTTACCAGTGTGTGCAGTGATAGATGAGAAAATAATCTGTATGCATGGAGGGTTATCACCAGAATTAACAAATTTGGAGTAGATTCATCGAATAATGAGACCAATTGAAGTGCCAGATACAGGTTTATTATGTGATTTGTTATGGTCAGATCCAGAGAAGGAGATTCAAGGTTGGTAAGGTAAATTATAAATAAAAAATATCATAAAGATAATGAGAGAGGAGTTTCATATATATTTGGAACAGATGTAATAGCTAATTTTTTGAAAAAGAATGATATGGATTTAGTATGTAGAGCTCATTAAGTAGTTGAAGAAGGATATGAATTTTTTGCAAAAAGACAATTAGTAACTTTATTTTCGGCACCAAATTACTGTAATGAGTTTGATAATTCAGGTAAGAAATAATAAAATAAATAATAATATTAGGAGCATTAATGAGTGTAGATGAAACTTTGATGTGTTCATTTTAAATATTAAAATCATAAGAAAAGAAAAATGTTCCATAAGGTAGACCAAGAACACCGAAATACGTTAATTGATATAATAAATGTTATTAAGATAGAAATTAAACTGATATAAATTTTTTCATTTCATTAAAATCATTTCCTAAAAGAATAAGAATTAATAATACTTCAGCAAGACTAGGATGAATAGGGACAGTGTTATCAAAATCTTTTTTGGTACATTTCATTTTCATAGCAACAGCAAAACCTTAAGTAACTTCAGCAGCTTCAGGACCAACATAATGAAATCCAATGATTCTATCTGATTCTTTATGAACAATCAATTTGCCTCCGCAATATTTAGCATCATCTCTTTTTCTAAATCCCCATTATAAGGGTTTAAAATGGGATCTATAAATTTTGATTCCATCTTATCCATATTTTTATAAAGCTCTTTCTTCTGATAATCCAATACAACCATATTCTATAGGAGTATAAATAGTAGTTGCAACATCTGCATAATCCATAATTTCATTGCTATCTCCATAAAGTCTTTTAGCTAATTTTCTACCAGCCATAACAGCAATAGGTGTATATTCTAATCTATTTAAACAACAATCACCAATTGCATATATATTATCAACTGTTGTTCTATCATAATCATCAGCTATAATTTTATAATTTCTAGCATCAATTTTTACACCAATAGATTCTAAATTTAATTATTTTGTTGATGCTTATCTACCTATACCATATAATACTGTATCATAAGTATCTTCTTCAGCTACTCCATCACGTACCCATTTAACTAATCTTCTTTTACCATTATCTATTGCTTATATTGATTGTAATTGAGCTCTCTTTGTAAATTTTATTCCATTGTCTGACATATATCCTTCTACTTTAGAAGCCATTTCCTAATCAAAATTTCTCATCACTCTTGTTCTTACTAATACTGTAGTATCATATCCAAAACCATGTATAAATCCTGCACATTCTAAACCTACATATGATGCTCCTATCACCAATGTTTTCCCTGGAGCAATTGTCTATTAAAATACATCCTCTGATGTTATTACTAATTTTGGATCTTAATACAACATTGGTCTTGATCCTACACATACTATTATATTCTTTGCACTTATTATCTCTTTCTCTCCTTTTATATCTGTAAGCTACAATAAGATAAACTTATATCATATTCTTACTTCAATTGTATGCCGATCAATAAATTTTGCAAATTTGTTATAATAATCAATACCATGATCCTTTAAAGAACTCTCTTAACGCACATTTAATTCTTTTATGTGTTTTTATACTGTCTCAATCAATTATTACCAATTATGTTTTCCATCACTATCTATTCCTGAAAATCCTGCTGCTATTTGATCTTTTCGAATTTCACCCATTCTAGCTGAAAATGGCATTAATTTTGTTGGCACACATCCAACATTTACACATGTACCACCTGTTCCCCATGTTGTTGCGTGAGGACTTGGAGTTGCAAAATCAGCCATTCCTACTTTTTTCCCCAATAATGCTGAAGCTTTTGAAGATGCTAAACCTCCTGCTCCTCCTCCGATTACGAATAAATCGTACTAAAATTTCTTTAACATAATTTATTAGTTTAGTATATAAATAATATATGCTTTTCAATTTTATATTTCTTATTGCAGTTCGATGATTCTATTTTAATACTTTGTTCTGTAAAATTTATAATATATTTCCTTCATCTTTAATAATTCTAATTGCTTAGTTATATAAACTATTTATTTATTGATCAAGTGAAAATAATACTAAATGTATTAAATTAAGTGATCCCTTTTTACTACTAAACAGAATACGACAACATAACTTATGCATATTCCTAAAAGCAACGCTTAAATCCTTATAAACGCTGATAAAATAAAGAAAATAAATAATAGAATCACAAATGTAGTGAAGCCTATTGTTAATATTCTATCATTCTTCATTTATTCTAAAATCGTCAACAACACATATATTTATTGCCCCAATTACTTGTACAATTAATGATTCTATTCTAAAAATTGCTAATTTCGACCATTCAGGTTTAATAATTAGTCAATTTAATTTAGTGTATTTATTTATATTCCAAGATCCATCCCACTTTATATTTTAATAATTATTATTTATGATAATGATGTTATTTATTAATAGATGTAATCTAAGCGATAAAATCTCCAATTAATAATAAAATGTAAAGGAGAATTTATGCTCGTAAACACTTAATTTATACATAATTGTCAGTTCATATTATTAACAACTTTAAAATAGGGAAATGTAGTATGAAAGATTATTAAGATTTTATTTGACATCAATTTTTGACTATTTTATGAAGGAGATGTAAAATAATCTTATGTCATTAAATAATGATTAGACAATTAATACAATAATATAGAGTTCTCCAATGCAATTAATTACAAAAGGAACTATCCTTTATTGAAAATTAATTATACTCAAAAAAATGATTGATTCTGCAACTTAATATGTTTAAGATTCCCTATTTAAATGTTTTCAAAATAAAGCAGAAGTTTTAAATTGTTATGCCTTTACTATAGAGGATGAATTTAAAAAATAAATCATATTTTAAGATAAGTACAAGAAAAATTGAGTTCAAAATTTTTAAAATATGGATTTAAACAATTAAAAATAGTATTACTATTAGTAGTAATTTAGAGATATGTTACAGTTTAATAAAATCTTTTTTATGGAAACTTAAGTGAAATATAAAAATTGCTTGCAAATATTGATGCTAATAAGATTAGAGAAGTACAAGTGAATTTATTTGTTTTGGATAAATTTAGTAGAAATGAAAAATAATAAAAAAGAAATAATGAGTTAAGAATGAAGTAAAAAAGATGCATATCAATGAAATAGAATAATAATAATAATAAATTATATGTGATATAAACTAAACCGTATTAGATATAATTGTTGGTATTTCGATATTGAAACTTAGATTGTTAAATTATATATTTATTTGTGATAGCAGTATAAATAAAATCAGAAATTATAAATGAATGTCAAAAAAATTATAGCCATTTAAAAAGAGAATATAAGTTGATGAAATGTTATTATTTAATAATAAAAGGAATTTTATATAAATATCTAATATAAATTTAAGAGAGATTCTTGTAAGGAGATGGATCTTCGTAGTATGTCAGATAAAAAGAGCAATAAAAATTGTATTAAAGGATTGATGAGGAAGATTAATTAGAAGGATAAGAAAATGAGAAGGAATTTAAAATAAGATTGAAATACTGGAATCACATTGAACAATAGAATAGAGGATAAACCTTATAGTGAATTGATGAGTATATTAAATTGGAAGATTTAAAATGGGAATATTGGACAGCATCATTATTTGGTGTAATAATTGGCTGTTTTTTTATTTTTTGGAATAGTTATATCACATATATATATAGAGACTTAACCAATAGAATGGATGATTACTAACTTTTGTGGAGAAGTATCATTTTATATTATCTTATTAAGGCTTTAAGAACATTTATTTATTTTTATATTTATTCGTATACAAAAATATCCATAAACTTAACTTACTGATAACAACAATTTAATAGGAATTAGAATTATAGAAATAGCATTATATTTTGGGAGGATTTTAACATATAGTATTAAGGTAAAAAATTTTTATTATTTAATACAGGTTATTTGAATCTAGCTATGGGAGTTGGATTAGGCATTTTTGAGTCTCTATAAGATGGTAATTTAGTATGTATGATTAATATTTTGATTTATATCTTTGGTCCATTTTCAGGTGCCTCTTTTACTTCAGAGTTTTATAGAAGCGTTTATGTAGGTTTGTTGTCTAAGAAATGATGATTATTAAATTTAAATTATATGAAAATAATTTTAAGTCTTCTCGCCCTCTTCTTAGGGTTATGTTATTGCAGCACAATTGAAACAACAACACCTTGTACTTGTTAATAACTATCTTAAAATGATTGTGTAAAAAATAACGTTTGCTCTTGGAATAAAACATGTGATGTTAGAACTATAACTTAATCTAAATTGAATACATATTGTAGTTACTTAGAAGAAAAGCAATGTTAATAAGATGATGCTTGTTAATGGGTGAATAGTTAATGTAGTTTTTTCACAGGTTGTACTCCCTATAAATTAACATCTGATAGAGAATGTAAAAGTTTAAACAAGAGATGTTATAAATCAGATCTGAAAAAATGTGTTGAATTAAAAGAATGTATTGAATATACAGATCCTATTGTTTGTTTTATGGATGTTAATTATAGATATTGTTATTGGGATACAAAAATGAATAAATGTTCAAGAGCTTTAGATTGCTTATCATAACCTTCAGCTTTAGATACTGATGCTGAATGTAGATCATAAATTGTTACTTGTACAACAAAACCAGGAGGTGGATGCATTGATGCCTAACAAAGTTGTAATGATATCAAACTTGAAATCTAATGTTATTATAATAAAGACTAATCTTCAAAATGTTTTTGGGATAGTTCTCTAAATCCTCCTATGTGTAAACTTAAAATTTGTGAAAATGCTCCTATCACTCTCATTACAGATGAATAATGCAGATTATATTTAGAAGAATGTACTACTAAATTAAATGGAGGTTGTGTCTCAAGATCAACATGTGATGCAGCTACTACTAAAAATGCTTGTATACAAGATTTTTTTGGAAATGATTGTTTTTGGGTAGATGGCTATTGTAAATAAAAATTATGTAGTAATGCTACCAAAAATATTGTTTCAAATGTAGGATGTTAATCTATTAGTAAAGATTGTATAACTAAATCTGGTGGTGGTTGTATGACTAATGGAGAATGCTCTATTGCAAATGTAGATTATGCATGCAAATAAAATCTAAGAGGGGAACAATGCTTTTGGGATTCTATTACTTAATTATGTAAAGATAGAACTTGTATCAATGCTCCACTAAGTCTTACTACATTTGAATAATGTAGTAAGTTCTTATCTACTTGTACTGTTAACTCTCTTAAATAGGGATGTGAAAATAGAACATGTGAAAATGCACCTGTTTTTGTCACAACTCTTAAAGGATGTTAAGAATATTATAATAGTTTATGTATTCCTAAAATAGATGGTGGATGCAAAACTATAAATACTTGTGAAGAGATTGAACTAGAAATTGCTTGTGTTCTTGATAACTTAAAACGTCCTTGTTTTTGGGATGATAAATGTAAACTTAAAATATGCCCCAATATTCCTAAAACCATTTATGATGAAGAATCAAAAAGTCAAAAACCTATCACACTTGATCATAAAAAATGTAATGAATTTATGTAAACCTGTACAATCAATCAATCAGCTACAGATTGTATAAATTATACATGTGACAATGTTGAAGATTATGATATTTGTATCGAGAACAAATAATGTTATTATCGTTAAACATGCTATATCAAAACATGTTTTACAGCCCCCTTATCTTATATTACTCATTCATAGTGTTTCCAATATAAAAATACTTGCACTCTAGCTCCATCAGGATAAGGATGCTCTATCATGTTATAAGCATGTAATCAATATACAATATAATTATAATGTGTTTAATCAATAACTAGTGCATGCGAATGGATTAATAATACTTGTGTAGTGAGATAATGTAGTACAGCTGACACATCATATAATACAACTTTAAAATGTTAATAATATTTGTCTGGATGCGTTGTTAATAACTTATAAAAGGGATGCATTCCTTAAATCACTAAATGCGAAGATAGTTAGACCCCATAAAATTGTACATTAAATGTATGTTAATGGATAACAGATAAATGTGTCACAAAATAATGTAGTACTCAAAAAACTAATTGCACATCATATTAAACTCCGAAAAAGTGCATCAATAATTAAACTAAATCTTCTTGTATGGATGTTCCTAATACTTGTACATTATTACCTTCAGAATATTGCTAACCAAATACATCTATCGACCTTATTAATAAATATTGTTATTTAAATGATGATGATGAATGTGTAGAACTTACATTATAAAATGAATGCAGTAGTTACGATTCACCATTGCTATGCATTAAAAGGATTAATAACAAAGGGGATTGTGTTTGGGTTAGTGGTACTTGTTATAATGATGATTGCACTAAACTGCCTCAGACATTGATTTCCTCATAATAGTGTTAAACCTAAATCGCAAGATGTATATTAGCTAATACAGGTTTAGGATGTGCAAACAAAGATGAATGCATAACATATAATGATAAAAATTGTGATTAATTAGATAAAAATGGATAGGAATGTGTTTATAAAGGTAGTTAATGTTTAAGGAAATCTTGTTTAACGAGTTCAAATACTAATCATGTTGATTGTTATAAATATATGTCTACTGGAACAAAATGTACAGTTAATATAACAAATAATGGATGTATAGAATTGACTTCATGTTCTAATTACAAAAAAGAGTCATAATGCGTAATCAGTAATTAATAAAAAACTTGTTTTTGGTCAAATGATACTTGTTAAGAGAAGATATGTTCTTTAGATACAACCTCTAAAACTCATGAATAATGTCAATAGTTTATGAGTTCATGTACAGTAAATACAATTACTAATGAGGGATGTATGGATTATCCTTAATGTTCAGATATAATAGATCCATTAATATGTAATTCAAATCCAAATTGCGTATTTGTTTCAAGTAGTTGTATAGTGAAAACATGTGAAAATGCTATTCTAAGTGAATATAATGATTAAAATTGTAATAACTTACCTTTTGAGGGTTGTTCATTCAATAGTAAATTTTGTAGCACAAAAACATGTTCTTAATATGAGTTTACTACAGATGAAGAATGTTCATAATAGAATAAATATTGTACAACAAATGGAAAAACTTGTACAGAAAGATTAGATTGTAATAAGGCAATTGTAGAATAAGGATGTTAGAAAGATATGTTTGGTAATTTTTGTTAATGGAATTAAATATCAAAGACTTGTAGTCTTAGAAATTGTTCAACAGCCCCAACATCATTAACAACTGAAACTTAATGTTAATAATATTATGATGGTTGTACTACTAAATAAGGTGGAGGATGTACTACTAAATCTACTTGTTTTGCTGCAAATGTTTAAGGAGCATGTAATATATCAATATATGGAGAAGTTTGTAGTTGGGATGATACTATCTAACAATGCAGAAATTAATCATGTATTGATTTTAATGGAAGTGATTATAAATCATGCAATAAATAAAATAGTTAATGTACAACCAATGGTTTAGGAAAATGCACCGATATTGTGAATTGTAATTAATATATAAATGCATAATCGTGTATAATTGGTGTAGATGGTCCCTGTTTATGGGTTAATGCACAATGTTATTAATATAGAGATTGTACAAGTATCAAATATAAAACACATAAAGAATGTTAATAGGTTAGTGATAAATGCACAACTGATGGTAGTAAATGTGTTTCAATAACAGAATGTAGCGAAACAAATATTACAGGAGGTTGTTTTTAAGGAATAGATGGTAAATGCATCATGACTATGAATGAGAAAAATGTTAAAATTTGTACTATTTTCACAAAATGTTCAGATGCTAAATTCAAAACTCATGCTGATTGTTTTACTGCTAATAATGGATGTACAACAGATGGAACATAATGTATTGAATTACTCGCTTGCTAAGATTATAAAATGTAAGAATAATGTTATTTGGATTATAAAGGAGTTGTTTATGTAGACAATAAAATATCATCAACTGGTATTTGCAAATGGGCTGGAACTTGTAGATTATAAATTTGTGAAGATTTAGTTGGAACTACTCATTCCATATGTAATAACTAAATGATGACTTGTACATCAAATGGTACTATTTGTTATACTATGGACAAATGTGCAAATTATCCATTAAAGGATTTATGTAACAATGGTTTAGGTTTAGATGGTAAATGTATATATTCAAATGAAAATACTAAATGTATACTTATGACTTGCAGTGATATCACTAATAATGTTTGTAATACTCTTGGTAATTGTATTACTGATGGTACAAAATGTATTCCTAAAACTAATTGTGCTTCTTATACTAGCCAAATACCTTGTGAAATTTCAGGAAATGATGGAATTTGTATTTGGAATACAACTACAAAAAAATGCTTATTATTTTCAGCTTGCTCTATTGCTATTGATTAAAATTAATGTAATAAAATGAACAAAGTTTGTTATTGGAATACAGATTCTAACAAATGTGTTGATTTAACTTGCGATTTCCAATATAAATCTACTAATAATTGTATCAACATCTCTACTTGGATTTCTTCATAAATTAAAACCTGTAGTTTTATTAATGGAGTTTGTTAAGAAATCGATCCCTCAGGTTATGGACCTAATGAATGCTACTAATTAACCTAATTTACATATTCTTATAATCCTTCATTATAAAAATGCACTAAATGTTCTACTTCTACCTATAATTAGAGTAATAACACCTAGAATCAAACTAATATCACTGTAGATAGCTATTAATATTTAATTGCTTTAGGTCTACAAATTTTATCATTATTTTTATTATGATTTATTAGCTTTAAAACATAATATAAATAATATTAATATCATTAAATTATTCCTAATTTATCCCACAAATTCTCCTCACATTTATATCCATTCACTGGGTATGTCTATGTTTATTAATCAGTATCATATATTTAATCTATTGTTAACTTAAATGCATCATCTACTTTAGATCATTTAATTACTAAGCATTCTTGGTATCAATTATTTTAACAGAGGACTACTCTCTTCAATACATGGATTTGTATTAACTTCTATTAACCAAACATGTCCATCTCTATCAATCATAAAATCATAACCAAGAATTTCAAACTAAAAATTCTTTCTGCATTCATTTAATTTATGATATCCTGATTCTATAGTTAATTTAACTATTTTTTTCATTTCTTAAATTATTGTATTTAATTAAGGTTTTTAAAATTTTAAATAACGTTACATTTCACTAAAACTAATTTAATTACCAATTTCGTATTTTCCATAATATGGATGATGTTTTTATATCGCATTATTTGTTAAATGAATATAGAGATTACGAATATTACTTATATCAAATCTTTCTGTTGCCAATCTAAAATAACCCTCACGAAAGAAATAATAATTTAATTTATGATCAATTAAAACCCAAACTCTGATATCAAATTTACGTTAGTTGTATAATAATGGAGTTTCAAGATATTTTTAAAGTACTATTTGTTTATCTTAATCATCAATTGTTAATTTAATTTTTCTTTTATTATCTAGAGTTAATGAAATGGACTTTTATTATTTAACTGAAGTCTGAATCTTTTTATTAAGATTTTCCATTAATTCAACAAATTAATCCAAATCATTAAATAATTTAATTCCATTTCCTCTATTTAAATCCGGTGGTTTCATTAACCAAATGTTTAATGATTATTTACTGCATTAAGTAAAATATTCTAAAAATTTCATTAAGTCTGTTTAAACATGTCCTGAGTCTAAATTTATAATAAATGTCTTAGGAACTAAATAATCTATATTTAACTTGGTTTTCTACACTGAATCAAATTCTAATTTACATTGCAATAATTTTCTAGAGTATGAAATAAGTTATTCTTATTTGTTATCACATAATGATGTTCTAAATGATTGATGGTAACTTTTTTACTCTTTAATTATCCCAATTAAAAATAATTAAAATATTTATTGCTTTGTTTCCATATTAAATGAGCGCTAATATGATATATATATTACTTGAAAGGAGTTCTCTATTCTTAAAAATTAGGTCTTTTGGATAGAATTTATCTCACTAAATCTCCATTGTTACCATCTCCTACATAAAAAAAAGTCTATCTTTTGAGAGTTGTTAAAGTTGCTCGCAAATCTTAAGTGCTCGAAAATTATTGACTTTTCATATAATAATAATTATTATTTTATACCAATTTTGACTTAAAGAGAAATAAAATTGAATATCTTATAATCATTCATTAAATTCATTAGCTATGTGACTCTTATAAAATGTACTTCTCATTTTTATATCTTTTGTATTACTATTTCCTAACTTTATATTATTATAATGATCAACATAATATTAATTTCGATTAAAAATACTGTTCCTTCCTTCTTTATCATTCATAGGTGTAACATCACTTGATTTTGAATAATCTAAAATTTGTGATATATTTAATAATTGCTATTGATCTTCTAATCTTCTTTTATTCTAATTATTACTTCCTTCCAATGTTGTATAATATACTTCTAATTTATCCTTAACATCATAGATTTTTCTTCTATCTCTCTCCATTTAATTTTCTTCTTACTCTAATTCTCTCCGACTTTTTAATTTAGATTTTTAAGGTGATCGAACTATTACTCCAAAATGATTTTTCAAAAATGTTATTGTTTCATCTGGACTTCTCATTCTTAATCCACCTTTTATTTAAATTTCTGAATCACTTTAAATTAAAGACGTATCTAATTATTTATATTCATTTATTATTTTAGATTATTCATCTATTTGAGAATCTTTTTTTTTTATCAACTATTAAGGTCTTAAATTTTTGGTATTATTGAATTATTTTTCTAAATACTCTTTTAATCCTTATTTTTTCATTTCATATATCTTTTCTTATTTATAAAGAGGCATTGAACTCAACACTTTTGTTAAAACCAAATTATCTTTATTACATGAATTACTTAATACTTCTGTTCTATATTTTGAATACTAAAATTATCTTCTCTAAATGTTATCAATTATTGGAAACACTTTATCAATTTCTTACTCTTTTGTTCGGTTTTGTTCTATCTTATATTTTAATAATATATATAACTTACCTACCCAAATAAATTATCAACTCTTTACATTATATCTTTCTTTTCCAACTTAATTTTCTCCTTTTTATCTCGAACTACGGATTTAGCCTAAAAAAAAATTGTTTTTCTTTCTTTTACATCTGAATTCATATAAAAAATAATATTTATTATATATATTTACGCAAATTCAAATTTTATTTGCGATAATCAAGTAGTTTTTTTAATTAGTTCTTTTGGAAATTACAAATTAGTTAAATTTACAATACTTTGATCCCAAACTAGTTTTTACTAATTTATTTATAATGTTTACTTCTGCTATCTATTCTTTTTATAGACTACAAAATTTTGTAAAATGATTTGAGAATTCAGACACTGTATTCTCAAAATGTTTAGTGATTTCTATATATGATGAACTATTAAAATAGGCATAAATATTTTTTAAATCTTCTTAAACTGTAGTCTCTTATGGTAGCATAATTTAAAAACTTATTTCTTTATTTTAAGTTAGATTTTCATCTTATAAGGCTTTAAGTTAAACAGCTGGGATTTCCCATCTATTAAAATCTTACGTCGTAAATAATTTATTTTTCTTTTGTTCCAATCGAGATTTGAATTTTTCATACTCTTATTAAGCTTAATCTTTTTATTTCATAAACTAGAATAAATGAAATACATTACTTCTTTTAATACCAAAATTTAATGATGATGAAATTTAAAAAAATAACACAATTCTTCCTATACAATTTTAATTTGAGATGTCAAATTATTACCCCATTAAACTAACATATTGTTCATTGATATATATAATATATCTAATTGAGATATCTTACCTTAAGGGATAGATTAATTAAACTTATTTGATAATTAATAAAGATCTGCACAAGTTTAACCCATATTGAAGATAGTATTTGATAATTAATCAAAATCAAGCAATAATTATTTTGATTCTCTTCTTAGTTTTTTATAACAAATATCCACAGAATTTACTAATTAAGTAGCTTCTATATTGTGAGAATTTAGATTTCCATTAATTTCTAATTGAATTTTTCCATCTATAGAGATTATTTATTCTAATTTTGTGACTCTTTATATTTAAGCACTCAATTTTTAAATTTATTTGAAATCCTTTTCTTCTTTTGATGATAGAAATGCAAAAAACCATTTATCATGTCTAAGTAATTCACATTTTAATACAGTTTTTAAGAAATTCTAGTTAAAATGAATTTTTTACTTCTAAAAATTTCTTACGTTTTTAAAGATATAATTCTTTTTCATTCTTAAGAACAGATTTTTTAGGTAATGGAGCAATCTAATTTAATAATTTAAAAATACATTTCTTCCTGGATATATTTTACATAATAATTCTCTTAACCATAAAAAATCACTATATCTCCTTTAAACAATCCATCCAATTGGATCTGTTTAAACAGTATATGAATAATATGATGATGTGAAAATACCTCCAGCTATTCTCTAATATTTTGAAATATAAACAGAAATATCATTTGATTATAATTGTTCTTTTTTATCTTAAATCTTGCATAAATGAATTTTAGACAAATTTGATTTTATATCAGTATCCTTATTTTTATCCTCTCCACAAATTGATTATTATTAATCCTTCTTTTAAATTTAAATTGTTAAATTCTAATTTTATTCTTCTTGTTCTATATTTTACAATTTTTTATCATCTAAATCTAATTATTTGTCTGAAACAATATTTTGCAACTATTCATCTTATTATGGCTAATTTAACTATTAAAATTAATTAATTGCTTAAGTTAGTTCCTGATATGTCCACATGTCAATATCTTAACCACCTAATAGAAAATTTATATTAATTGAGTTACCATTCTCCTTCTATAGCTCCATAAAATTTATAAAATTTTCACTATCATATCCTTTATCAAGTATTTCTGTCTTTAATAACATTTCTTTAAGTTAAACTTCGTCACTATTGTTTTATTAATTCATTAAATATATTTAAAAATGGAATATTATACGAATATATCAAATGAACTTAAAGAAAAGTATAATCAACATTATAATCTTTATCAAGTACATTAATTTATTATTATTAGAAACAATAATTAGAACGCAAAATTCTTTGTTACAAAAATAATTATGAGGATCCACTAAAATATTAATAATGCATTGAAGATTTAAATACTAGAATGAATATGAATTCGAATACTCTTAGAAATAGATTCAATCAAATTGAAATCGATGATAAAGATTGTCAAGGAAAATGTTATGAAGATTCTAAATGTCTTTAAGGATGTGAAGACTAATCAAGAAAAAAAGCATATTAATTATAAGAATAATTTTATAAATTAATGTTATAAGAAAATCCTGAATACAAAAAATTGTAATGAAATGTATTTAATAATATAACCTATAATCTCAAAATATTAAGCAATCATCAACTTATCCATTACTTTATTCTCCTGATTGCTCATCACTTATTTATTATTATTATTGAATTGGTTAATTATTATCTCTAAAAGTTTATTATTATTGTGTCATTTTCTACTCTTACTCTTTTGGTTAATTTTACTAATATTATGATAACAACCTATTCATTTATTCTTCCTAAGTTTATTCTAATAATTAGATTTTTTCTTCATAAAAAGATTTTAATTAATGAATTTCCTTTTCTTCATACAATTTTAGGGTTTAATTAATTTCTTTATTAATTCTTTCATAATTCTACATTTTATCAAAATATTCAATTTTCAATTAATTCACTTCTACAAACTTTTGTTTCAAATTAAATAATTCTTTTTCTTTTTAAAGAAGACTGTTTCTTATTTATATATTGTTCTCTTATAATTCTTTTGTAATATTGTTTTAAACCTGAACTTAATTAAAGTTTTAATCAAAATCTTTTCTCTTCAAACCCAAAATTTGAATATTTAACTCATCTATATGTTTATTTAATTTTTCTGTTTATTCATTTTTTCTTGCACATAATTAACTCATTTCATCTGCATTTTTTTTTTATTCTTCAAATTATTACTTAAGCTCTAAAATTTCTTTATCTCTTTCTTCCTATTTTATATTAGAATTCAAAATTTATTGTTATAAAAAACTTGTCTTTTTTAATAATGACACTCTTTCCTCTGTTAATTTTAATATCTCCTATTCATATTAACTATTAATCTTTTCTTTAAGTTAGCTTTCAAATTCAATTTTACTTTTCTAAACCTATTATAATTGAATTTATAATTTATTAATTTAAAACTTTAAATTACTATTTTCTGAATGCAATTCAGAGATTTGATTCTTGTAGTTTTCTTCTTTTTATTCAAACAATTTCACTATTATTTCTTCTTTTTCTTCTTTTTCTTTTTTAAATAGCTAACTATTTTATTAGTTTTATAATTGAGCCTTTAAATTACTTACAGATGTGAAATTATCTATTTCCATTTATTATTGTTGCTCAATTTATTTTTAAATTAATTTTTATTAATTTTTAATTTTATCTTCCAGCTCACTAATTTAAGTATTTTTTTCATTTAATTCTCTTTAATTAAATGCTTTATCGGCATTTTCTGATTTTATTGAACTTCTTGATATTCTAGAATTATAAAAATCAGATTCTGTATCCTAATCTATTTTTCCATAAGTAATAGCGGCGTTTTTCAAATTTATCAACTCTTCTTTTTATTTTTTAATTGCTTAATATAATTCTTAAATTTAACTCTTATTTGAATCATATTTTTCATTCATTATATAGGATTCTATTTTCGAATCTGAAATATCTTTCACTAATCCAATAAATAAATCTAATAATTATTCTATTGAACTATTATTGATTGAATTTCTTTATTATTCTTTCTCTTTTTATGACTATTATTATTATTAAATAATTAATTATGATTATTAGCTTAATTAATCTTTACTTGTTAAACTAGTTCTATGTTTTCTTTTCTATTGATCTTCAAATTATAAGAATGTTGTAAGCTATTCTAATTATATGTTCTTCATTATATAAAGTGGTATTTCATCAATTTAAGCTTCTACAATAGCCTTTTGTGCTTATAAACATATATTAGCTAAGAATTTTTCATAAATAGAAAACTATATTAAGTAGATGAAATAATTACATCTCTATTAATAAGTAATTAATTGAAGAGAAAATATCCAACATAAAATTCAATGTGATTAAACATAAAATTTATTAGAATATCAGTTGAATATGCATCTAAAAATTCCTTTATTTTAGGTTTAATTAGAGGATCAAGAGTTGAATTTGATTATTCTACCATGCAATCCATTAAAAATTTAACTTCTTATTCAATAGGTTTGTTTTCTTCTGCATCTAATTTATGATATTGAAATCTTGAAGGTAGTACTTTTTAATGTAAAAATGATAACAATATTAAAGTTATAGCTTCATCACAAAAATATAAGATATATGTAGTTATAAAAACTAGATTTCTAGTTAATTTAACAGGATTTGTAGTAAAAAAACAATGTAAGACATTAGATATCTTTTGCTATAATTAACTCTCTTATTCTCCTTAAGATATTTTATAATTCCAATCATATAAAGAATAATTTAAACTTTTTTTATTCTAAAATAATTTAGAATCAATAAAAATACCTCCTTAAAAAATCTATATAGATTAGCTGAAATTTATTATTTTATTTCATTGCTGGAATTTTTTAAAATTTTTGATAAGGATTTTTAGTATTCTTCTTAAGACTTTTCAATTTAGAAACTAAAAATTAATAAATTAATACTCATCTCCTTAAGCCAAAAAAGCCCATCTTTTTCCAATTCCTGATAATTATCCAAACTTGCATTTTTCTACATCCATCAACTAAGTTTGATGTTTTGAATCATCTTTACAATTCTTACAAATTCTATGAGGAGTTTTTAAATCATGAGATGGAATGATAGCTTTATCAGGACCACAATTGTAACATACATGCCTTAAACACCTTTTACATTAATGTTATTTATGTTTCCTTTGATAATTTTAATAAATAGTTAATACCAATCAAAAGTTTAGTTGCATAATTCACAACCATCATTTTTGTTATTTGAATTTCCAACAAATGTTCTAGAAGTTAATTTAGAGCCAAGCTTTTCAAACATTAATATATTATATATATTATATTAATAATTGTGTAATATTTGTAGTATGAAGCAATTTTCATAAAAAATCAATATAGAGATTCTAATTTGAATAATATAAATAATATAATTAAATGTCTTAAGATCGAGGTTTTGATTAGGGATTATCAGGTCAATCCTCTCAATCACTTTCTCATTAGTAGGATTAGAAAGGTTTGAATTAATTTTCTATTGATTTTTTTATTGAAAAGAGATTTATCACTTAAGAAGATTTAAAATCAATTTTAGAGGATGTTAGAGTAATTAATTTAAATATAACATTTTAGTGCTTATATAATATTTAAACAATAAAACTTAATCCATAGAATCAAATCCCAGGTTTGGATGGAACAGCATTTTCTATAATAGATCATGATGAAAATAAATTAAATGCAAGATGTGATGCAGTCAATAAAATATTATAATTAATAGAACAAAGAAACAAACAAAAATTAGAAATATTTATGCTGATTCCAGAAGGTAAAATAAAATAATTATATAGGGACTGTCTCAACTGTAATAGGAACTTAGGGAAAATAAATAGAATCCATTAAATTAGAAACTAAAGCTCATTTAGTAGTTAATTAACCAATTTATGAATTCTAATTAAGAACAGTAACAATTCTTGGTAAAATATTTGCATAATAATATTATTATAGGTGAATCTTCTCGCATATTTAATGCATTTAAGTTGATTATTAAGTAATTATAGGAAAGAGGAATTTCAAATGAAGATTATGCTAAAAAAGCTGAGCCTTTGGATCCAAAAAGAGTAATGACAAAAGTATTGTTAATTAATATTAGAGGCCAAATTTGCTTTTTTGAGTGTGATAATAGAATATATATTAAAGAATAGAGAGTTAGAGAAAAAGTATTCAGTAAGATTGAAGGGGAAAGGAATAAATGATATAAAAATAAAAGTATAATATATGTGATAGATAGAAAAACAAATTGAGAAAGGATGAAGGAATTTTATAAATAGATGGAACATTATTTAATGTTTAAGAGGCGATATCAAATATAATAAAGAAAGTAACTTAGTAATTCAAAAAGAATGAATTTGATATAAGAATAGTTATGCCTTCTAATTTTGCATCTAAATTAATAGGAGCAAGTAAAGATTAAATAAATTTGATAAAATAGAAGGATGTTAGATAAAAGAATTAGCCAATAAAGCTAGAGGAGCATAGATAAAAGTACTTTCAGATAAGGATGATAGTGATATCGTTTAAGGTTACAATGTTAAGGAATTTTAGATTGTTTAGTATAAGTGTCAGGATCAATGGAAAATAAGTAGGAAGCAACAATATTGATTTTGGAATAGATAGAATGTTTTAAAAATGGAGGCCCAGTATATAAATAATTAATAAGATCCTTGAAAGTGGAAAGTACATAAATGAAAACTTTGCATAATAATACAAAAACTCAGTGTAGATATAGGACATGAAACAAAAGAGGTGATTGTGATAGAATTAATAAATTAGACATTAATCATCATCATCAGATTCAAACAGAAGACAAAGATCAAGATCCTCAAATAAAAGATAAAAATATTTAAAAAGATCTAGATCATCGAGGTATTTAATATTAATATATATTTAAGTTCTAGTAAGCACAAACCTAAATAATAAGTGCTTAAGACTAAAATTATTGTTAAGTAATCTATAATTCAATAAATGCATAAATAATTAGTTCGATTTTGTTCAGATTTAAATGTTAAGATAAAGACTTTGCCTTCAGTATTATTATTATATTATTTATTAATAGGATATAGGATAAGAAGCAGTCGTTAAGATCAGTGGAGATTTTAGAGGCTGCATATCTGTTATTTAATATATATTAAATGAGTAATGTAAATTATCTAAGAGATGAAAGTAATAATATACAAATACAATATTCTCAATATAATATATATGTTGATCATCTCATATTCTAAAATTTTCATTCTCAAATTAAGATATAATTTCATTGATTTCTGGATGTAAATTTTAGTTTTAATTCAAAAAGGTTTCCACAATTTGTATAGCTTCTTCTATTCTAATTATTCTTTATCCTAATGATATTACGTTGCAGCCAATTTGACCTGCTTATTTAGCAGAATTATTATCATTTATTTATGCACATCTTATTCCTTTTATTTTATTAGCCATCATTGACATTCCAACTCCACTTCCACATATTAGAATTCCTAAACACTTATTTTTTAGAATTTCTTAACATAATTCTGTTGCAATCTCATTATAATCACAACTTTATTTAATGTCAGTTCCTTTATTTATTATGTTATATTCTTTCTATTTGAGATGATCATATATTATGTTTTTATACTCAAAACCAGCATGATCATTACCAATATATATTTTATATTAATTCCTCTTTGAAAATTAATAATACGTAATTGTTCTTATTGAGTTAATCGAATAATTAGTTAACTTTATCATATATTTATTTATAGAAATAAGTAATATGATTTATAAGATTAATTTATAGTGACGTATGAAATGTTGCTATTACTTAAATTGATCGTCAAATAATACTTTTTTAAAATAAATGTCTGATTTTATTCAATGGACATATGAAAATAGATTACAAATCTCTATTGATTTAGCAGCTGGATCAGTTAGTGGAATGTATTTGACTATTAATTACTCTTAATAGAGCTAATTGTATATCAAGTCATCCATTAGACACTGTTAAAGTTAGAATGTAAATGTCAAATGATGGAGTACTGTCAACTTTAAAGAATATTCTTTAAAATGAAGGAACAAAAGGGTTCTATAAAGGAATGTCTTTCCCTATACTTTCCATACCAATTACTAATGCTATTGTATTTTCTGTCTATGAATTTTGGAAATCTTTTTTTATAGGAAATTCGAACAAATAACTAACATATTTTTAAACGTAATATCTCTTAAGATTATTAATAGTGCCTTTTGTGGAAGTATTGCAGGTAGTTCAGCTGCTTTTTTTTCATGTCCAATAGAGTTGACTAAGTGTAAATTACAAATGCAATCAACTGAAAAAATATACAAAAATCCTATTGACTGCATCTCATAAGTATTTTTTTAAATAACCAATTAATTAGATTTATAAGAAGGAGGGATTTAAATCTTTGTTTCGTGGAATGTGTGCAACTTAATAAAGAGAAATACTTGGTTATTCTGCATAGTTTGCTGTATATGAATTGATAAAAGATTTCTTATGTACTCTATCCTAAAGATCTGAACCATCAACAGCTAATCTTTTGATTTCAGGAGGATTAGCTGGAGTTTCTTGTTGGACAATAGGCTATCCTTAAGATGTATTTAAATTTATTAAATACATTTAGACCATAAAAACAATTTTATAATGTTAAAAACCAACAGATTAAGGAATTTATAAAGTTAGATTTTATGATGGGGGTTTTCTGGATTGTTTAAAAAAAAAAATTATATCAGAAGGTCTTAGATCAATTTGGAAAGGATACTCTGTATGTATTTTGAGATCTTTTTATGCAAATGCTATTGGATTCTATGCATACGAATTAGCTAAAGAAAATATTACTTCATACTATTCAATATATTGAAATTGTGAATAAATTCATTGTTTATATTATACTTAATTCAAAACAAAGATATGATTTCAATTTACAAATAACTTCTCCTAATCTATTTCATCAAGTTTCTGTTTGGATTTGTTCTGTCTCCTTAATATTATAGGATTTTTTTATATTTAATATGAGAGTTTGGCTTTTCTAATCTCTTAAGATTCTACTATGGAGCCTACACTTTTGAGATATTGCTCAAAATTGTCATTTGTTTTATTAGTAAAGGTAGTAGAATTTGTCATTTTATTCTTATTTATTGAACATCCCATTATTTAATATTAAGATTGTATTTTAATTTCAAAAAAATACATTAATAGTACAAAAATATTTAATTCGTTTAATTAATGCTAATTAATTCATTAAACTAAAAGATCAGTTGGTACTATAAAATAATATCTAAAAATGAAGATAATCTAAAATTAAGTATTTAATATATAAGTAGTTTAATTGTATTAATTAATTTCAAACGGTATTAGATAAAATGAAAAAAAAACTTAAGAAAATTCTAAGATAAAGTTAATAAAGTCAAAATTGATTTTTATTAATATTATTCACTCAAATTTAGGATCATAAAATAGAACAGTAGGTAACTTTGGTGCTTAAGAACAGTTCTGATAATATTTGATTTATAATAAGAATTCAGTAAATGGGTTTATTAAATCTTTATATAATTTATAGCTAATATGATCCATATCATTAGCTAAATGTATAAGACATTAACTAGATTAACAATTTTCTAAATAGTAATAAAATAAATACTATATAATTCTTAAGCTTAAGAATATGGAATAATATTGTCTGCTTTACCATGCAAGATAAAAGTAGGAATCTTGACTTTTTTAATTTACTCTAAATTATCGAATCTTTATCTGATAAGATATTAAGCCCATGATCCTACATAATCTCTGACAGCAGCTTTTAATGAAGTAAATGGAGACATCAAAGCAAGACATGCTGGTTTATATTTACTAGCTAAATAAGTAGCAGGTCCACTACCAATGCTTCTACCAAAGATAATAATACGGTTTTCATTGTAACCTAATCTTTTAGTTAAATAATTGTAAACATATTCAGCATCTTTCAAAATAAATTCAGCATTAGGTTGTTCATTTTTATATTTACTATAACCAGGATATTCCATTGCTATTGCTGATATCTAGAAATTAATATAAAGAAAATACTTATAAATTATCTCTGAGTTGAATGAGAAAATCATATGATTGAGTAATATCTTCACAATTTGCATGGAAATATAATAAAATATTTGGAGAATGATTTTTTGAATCTACATACATACA